GAGGAGGAGGAGGAGGAGGAGGAGGAGGAGGAGTGGGAGGAGGAGGAGGAGGAGGAAGAGGAGGAGGGTGAAGACAAGTATGATGATGCTGCTGATGATGATGACGCTGATGACGATGATGCTGATGCTGATGCTGATGATGATGCTGATGATGCTGATGCTGCTGATGATGATGACGATGCTGAAGCCGATGCTGATGCTGATGCTGTTGCTGATGCTGCTGATGATGCCGATGATGATGACGATGATGTTGATGTTTATGATGCTGCTGATGCTGATGCTGATGCTGGTGCTGATGATGACGATGATGATGAGGATGATGCTGCTGCTGATTATGCTGATCATCATGCTGCTGATTATGATGATGCTGATTATCATTATGATCATGATGATGCTGCTGATGATGATGACGATGCTGATGATGGTGATGATGATTCGGATGATGGCGATGCTGATGGTGATGGTGATAGTGATGGTGGCGATGAATTGATGATGATGATGATGATGATGACGATGATGCTGATGATGATGATGATGATGATGATGGTGCTGATGATGATGATGAGGATGCGGAGGAGGAGGAGCAGGATGAGGAGCAGGAGAAGGATGCGGAGGAGGAGGTGGAGGAGGAGGCGGATGAGGAGGAGGAGGAGGACGAGGATGATGAGGAGGAGCACCAAGAATAATAGCACTACTAAGAATAATAGCACTAAGGATCATAAAAACAACATGCATACACTAAGCATAAACATACGAACAGGAAGACTACTACGAACACTAAACATCATTACGAGCATGATTGCGAAGCATCTTGATCTACATACTAGTACTATTACTATTCTGATTAATGTTGGTACGGGAACGAAGAATACTGATACTCGTAATGATAATAATGATACGGCGAATCATACTACTAGTCATACTACTACTACTACTACTACTACTACTACTACTACTACTACTACTACTACTACTAATACCATTGATATGACCGGTAATTACAATATTCATATTATTATTAATGCTAATAGTAATAATACTACTAATACTAATACTACTACTAATATTATTACTAATAATAACATTAATACTATTATTACTAATAATAATACTAATAATAATAATCACAATACTAATAATACCACTAACACTAACACTAATAATAATACTACTACTACTACTACTAATAATAATAATAATAATAAACAATAATAATACTAATATTACTAATAATAATATTAATAATAATAATAATAATAATAATAATAATAATAATAATAAGAATACTAGTCATACGACTAATAAGAAGAAACAAAAGAACCATCATACTATTATTACGAATGATAATAAGAAGAAGATGAGGAGGAGGAGTTGGAGGCGGAAGCGGAGGCGGAGGCGGAGGCGACGGGGAAGGAGGGAGGAGGAGGAGGCGGAGGAGGAGGAGGAGGAGAAGGCGGAGGAGGAGGAGGAGAAGGACGAGGACGAGGACGAGGACGAGGACGAGGACGAGGTCGAGGACGAGGACGAGGACGAGAACGAGGAGGGGGGAGGAGGAGGAGGAGGAGGAGGAGGAGGAGGAGGAGGAGGAGGATGAGAAGGAGGAGGAGGAGGCGGAGTAGGAGCACGAGAACGAGCACGAGCACGAGCACGAGCACGAAGACGAGGACGAGGACGAGGACGAGGAGGAGGAGTAGGAGGACGAGGAGGAGGAGGAGCGGCTGGGTGGGAGGACGGGAAGGCAGTGAAGGGGCCAGGCGCGGATGACCAGCACGAGAGGAGAATGAGGGTGGCTGAAGAGGAGGAGGAGGAGGAGGAGGAAGAGGAAGAGGTTGAGGAGGAGGAGGAGGAAAAGGAGGAGGAGCAGGAGGACGAAGATATTGGGTATCATCCTACACCGTTTCTCAGCACCCGAGGCCACAATCCGCACATCGTTGGTGGAGGCTGGCTTGTGCGAGTTCTTCGATGGCCCGCTGGTTGCGAACGCGGTGGGTTTCGACGGCAAGGCAGGTTTCATCGAGGAGCTGCTGCGGGTTGGCAGTGTCCTTCGTTCCTTCACCCTGCCCTCCACCTCCACATCTCTACAGTGCCGTTTTTTAATACATGCTCCGCGTGCGGATCATGTATTAAAGATGCAGGGATTTAGTACTAAAAACAACGATGAGTTCATGCGTAAATTTATTCATACATTAATCATGTATTAAAATATGTTTAAAACATCCATGTATTAGACACTGCCCTCTACTCCCCCTGCTACCCACCGGGCACCCTTCCCTCTTCCCCTCCCTGCATCCTGAGCCCCCAGTGGGGAGGAGGCGGCGGGCCGTGAAGGAAGGATCGCGACGGCGGGGGATGGGGGGCAGGAGCAGGGACGAGGGGAGATGGCGCGGGTTTGAGGGGGTGTCTCCTCCCCCCCTCGTCGTCCTCCTCCTCCTCCTCCTCCTCCTCCTCTTCCTCCTTCTCCTTGCTCTTGCTCCTCCTCCTCCTCCTCCTCCTCCTCCTCCTCCTCCTCCTCCTTGTGGTTTGGGGGGAGGGGCCGAATCGACAGACGCGCGCAGGAGCTGGTGCAGGGCGGCAGCCTGCGCCACCTGGGCCCCTCTGGGCTGCGAAGGGCGCCCGGGGCTGGTGGAACGGGCGTGCCCGTCGGAGCTCCTGAACGTCCCCGAGCCGCCCCTGCTTCTCACTCCGCCCCCGCAGCTCTGTCACCCTCTCCTCCCTTGTCCGCCTTTGTCCTGCTCTGTGCCCGCCGCCTCTTCATCCCCCGCCGTTCTCCTCCCTCCTTCCACCTTCTTCCTCCTCCCTCCTCTCTCCTGCTCCTCGTCCTCGTCCTCGTTCTCCTCCTCCGCCTCTTCATCCTCCTCCTCCTCCTTCCTCCCTTGTCCCAAACATCGTTACTCCGACGGTCGGGGCCCGCATGAGAATCCTCTCGGCTAATTGGGACATGCCCCTTCATCGCCGTCCTCGTGATTGGTGAGGCGTCCATACTGTCTCCTCTGCATCATTATTCCTTTCGCCCTGGCGCAGGCTCTCCTCCCGCTCCCTGCGTTGTCCCCTCCTCGCCCTCCTGCTTTTTTACCCGCGCCGCCTCCTCCCCTCTTTATTGCAAGAGCGCGCGTGTTGATTTTCCTCGGCGCCGTCGCCGCCTCGGCCAGCACGGGCGCATTTTCGAAAGGCCACATCGCGCAGCCGCTGGGGCAATCCCGCGGGCCATGCCGTTGGGCCAAACCCGCGAATTGCTGGGGCGCGGGAGCAAGCCGATGGGACAGCCCCGCAAGCACCGAACTTGTCGCGGCCTTGTTCAGGCGGGTGGCAGCACGAAACCCAGCTCTGCCGCGAGCTGCTCCGCCTCTGCCCTGGAGCTCTCCGCTCTCTTGCCGAACTCCCTGAGCGCCTTCCGCAAGGACGCTGGCGGCCCGCTCTCGAGGAACTCCCGCGGGGGCGGCCGCAGGATCAGAACGGGGAACATGTCGCTGATATGCAGAATTCCTCTTCCTCTGATGCGTGGATCGGGTGGCCCTCTACAGAACCCCACAAACTTCGCTCGTATTCCTCTGCGCCCCAGTGGATCCGATGGCCGCTCGGGTCCCGACCTCTTAGAGTTGGAGAAGGGAGAGAAATTGAGAAAGAGAGAGAGAGAGAGAGAGAGAGAGAGAGAGAGAGAGAGAGAGAGAAAGACAGAGACAACCACAGAGACAGACAGAGGGAGGGAGGATCAGGATCCGGATGATGATGATGACGATGATGATGATGCTGATGATGATGATGATCATGACATTGATGATGAGAAGGTTGAGGAAGAAGAGGAAGAGGAGGAGGATGAGGAGGAGGAGGAGGGGTGGAGGATGTGGAGGGGGAGGAGGAGGCAGAGGAGGATGACAACACATAACGCAGACGCAGCAGACGAATAATACTTGTACTCGTACGAAGAAGAATAATCATAATACTAATGAGAAGGGTGATGGTAAGAAAAAGGAAGACTGATCATACGAAGAAGAAGGAACGAACACTCATAATACGAATACCACGGATGATAGCACGAACGGGAACATTACGAATAACACGGATACGGATACGACTAATAATATTACGAAGACGATAAACAATACGAGTATGAATAATACGAACAAAGCAAACAAGACTACGATGGTGACTAATTCTCATAATGCTACAATGCAGAGTGATACTACGACAAAGGGTCTGAATACGAAACACTAAAATAATACACGTACTTCTAAGAGTAAGAAGAAACATACATCTAATACTACAGAGGGAAAATAAATAATATTAAGCAGAAGAAAGAAGGAGGATGATGATATTCAGGAAGTTGATGAGGAGGATGAGAGGGAGGAGGTGGAAGGGGAGGAGGAGGAGGAGGAGGAGGAGAAACACACGTGTAAACCCAAGAGTCATCAACGATGTTGGAATCAACTCTCCTTCCAGGCTTCCTCTTCGTAGGCCCCCCACAGCGGTTCATTTCCATTGAGTGAGCTGTCTCGATGGAAGACAACCGTTTGAAGATCCGGAAGCATACCAAAACATGGTTTTCGGGTTTCAGCGCTACATATTGACTTGACTGGTGCGTCTCGGCGATCCGGAGTCGTGCCAGAACGTCATTTTTTGGGCTTCGACATCGCGTATCAACATATTTGTTACACCCGCAGAATCCAGAATCCGTCCAAAAACGGCGTCCTTATGTTGATCATGGGAATCCGTGAAACTTTCGTTGTAATTCCCAACCATCCTGTGGTGTTGGGTCCCCGTTTTGAAGAGACAGCGCCCCGCGTCCCTCCCGCCTCCTCCTCCTTCTCCTCCTCCTTCTCTTCCTCTTTCTCCTCCTCCTCCCTCCTGCTTTCCATCCTTGCCTCTGCTCTCCGCGTGCCCATCCCTTTCCAGCGAACCCCTCACAAGGTTCGTGGCCCCATAGGGAACTACACCGAAGGCCCCAGTGGCAGCGTTCGCATGCAGTTCCACCCTCATTTCGGCGCACCCCTCACAGGGTTCGTGGCCCCACCGCGCCGCAAGCGGGAACGCGACCGCCGGCGCCCAGGTGACACGACGCTTGACATCGACAGAGAGTCTCGGGTCGCGAACCCGCCCCTACTCAGGCAGGCCGAAGTGGAGCTGTCGAAGGGGCGCGGGCACGGTAGGGCCTAGGGGCAGCGGGGAGGCCCGCCGTGCCGCGCGAAGTGGAGCGCCGCCGATTCGCCGCGAGACGTCAGGCGCCGCAGGGCCCCGCAAAGGGCCCCTGCGAAGGAGGGCGGTGGCCGCAAGGGCCAGAGCGATTTTGGGAAAAGCGGCGAGGGGAAGGCGCCCCATCGGGACGCATTTTCTGGCCCGTGCCGCGCGCGCGCGTCGCCAGGAATATGGCGATTCTCGCGAACCAATGACGCCCGCGAGGACCCGCTCGCGGAACCGTGCCCCGTGGGCCGGGAGCAGCGCTCCGTCCCAGTGGTTTTCAAACGAGTGACTAAGGGCGCGCCACTTGCGCCCTGCATTGGTGCGCGGCGCCGGGGCGCGCGCGCCGGCGCGTGGGCCGCGGCAAGCCCCGACGTGTTGCATGTAAAATTAGCTTGTGAGTGTGAGAGGTCTGCCGGTGGTCGGCTACCCGCATGCGCCGCGTGCGCGCTCACGGGCGAGTCGCCTTCAGCACGCAGGGCCGGGCGGCGACATTTGTCCTTTTCGCGCAAGGATGCAGTTGCGAAAACTTCGGGGCGCGGGCGGTGCGCCCGCGCGGCCCCGGGGTCCGCGATGGATCGGCGCGCGGGCGGATGCGACGCCGAATGCGATGTCCGTGCTCAAGCAACGGTGAGCACGGCGCCGTCATAACTTCTGCGGAGGCGCCTGTTCGGCGCGCGTTGTCGCGCCCGTTCCGCGCGCGTGTCGCGCGCCGCGCCCAGGGCGGTGGCGACGAGGATTTCGAATTCATGGATGTCTTCAAGTGGCCGCATGAAGACGACATTTCTGATATTCGCGAAGAGGTCGACGCGCTACTATCAGACCAGTCCCGGGTGGAGGAAATGCACCCGCTTGACCACTGGAGGCGGGCGCAGTCGCTCCCGCGGTCCGCGGCGCCAGCGACCTGCCCGAGCGAAGTGGAATCTGCCGCGCGCTGGGCGGGCGCCGCGTCGTGGTCTGAGCTGCGACGCGCCCGCCGAGATGCGCTTCTTTTCTGGGGCCAGCGACGAGAAGCCCTGGGCGAGGGTTGGAGGGCCCACCTCGCCACGCTGCCGCGGCGCGTCGAGTCGGTCCTGGGAGATCGCAAGAACGTCTTCCTGCTGTAGGCGCGGCGCGACCTCTCTCTCTCTCTCTCTCTCTATGTGTCTCTCTGTCTCTATCTGTCTCTATCTGTCTCTCTCTGTCTCTCTGTCTCTCTGTCTCTCTGTCTCTCTGTCTCTCTGTCTCTCTGTCTCTCTGTCTCTCTGTCTCTCTGTCTCTCTGTCTCTCTGTCTCTCTATCTCTCTGTCTCTCTGTCTCTCTGTCTCTCTGTCTCTCTGTCTCCCTGTCTCTCTGTCTCTCTGTCTCTCTGTCTCTCTGTCTCTCTGTCTCTCTGTCTCTTTGTCTCTCTGTCCCTCTGTCCCTCTGTCTCTCCGTCTCTCCGTCTCTCCGTCTCTCCGTCTCTCCGTCTCTCCGTCTCTTCGTCTCTCCGTCTCTCCGTCTCTCTGTCTCTCTGTCTGTCTGTCTCTCTGTCTCTCTGTCTCTCTGTCTCTGTCTCTCTGTCTCTCTGTCTCTCTGTCTCTCTGTCTCTCTGTCTCTCTGTCTCTCTGTCTCTCTGTCTCTCTGTCTCTGTCTCTGTCTCTGTCTCTGTCTCTGTCTCTGTCTCTGTCTCTGTCTCTGTCTCTCTGTCTCTCTGTCTCTCTGTCTCTCTGTCTCTGTCTCTGTCTCTGTCTCTGTCTCTGTCTCTGTCTCTGTCTCTGTCTCTGTCTCTGTCTCTGTCTCTGTCTCTGTCTCTGTCTCTGTCTCTGTCTCTGTCTCTGTCTCTGTCTCTGTCTCTGTCTCTGTCTCTGTCTCTGTCTCTGTCTCTGTCTCTGTCTCTGTCTCTGTCTCTGTCTCTGTCTCTGTCTCTGTCTCTGTCTCTGTCTCTGTCTGTCTGTCTGTCTCTGTCTGTCTGTCTGTCTGTCTCTGTCTGTCTGTCTCTCTCTCTCTCTCTCTCTCTCTCTCTCTCTCTCTCTCTCTCTCTCTCTCTCTCTCTCTCTCTCTCTCTCTCTCTTCTCTCTCTCGCGCGCGCCGCCCGTGGCGCGGCGCCGCGCTGCTGCGGGGGGCGCGATGGAAGCGGCGGGCTGCTCGGATGAGAACCTGGCCACGGATCTGGCGCAGGGGCCCCGCCTGACGGGGCCGACGCCCCCCGCGGGCATCGCGCCCCCAGAGTGGCGCCCCGCGGTGTGCAGTGAGGCCGAGCTGCAGGGGCGGGCGCATCGCGGCAACTCCGGCGCGCTCCGCCGCGCGCGCCGGCCGGCGGACCCGGGCCCGGCAGTTCGCGGGGCCTTCGAACAGAAGGCCGAACAGGAAGTCGGCGCAGGCGACGCGGCATCCGCGCGCCCCACCATCGTGTGTCGGAGGCCGCGCCGCTTGGGCTGATATTGATGCGGCCGTGCGTGGCGGCGTCATCGCTCCG